AAACTCCAATGCGGCCACGGAATTCGGCCCACCGAAGAGAAAACTATGATGAAAATCACCCTGCAAAAATAATAAAAAAGCCGTTAAGATTTTATTCATGACACTACACTTGCATTTTCCTAGTGGGGCAGGACAACACTCATACTATGGTTACTCCAAGGGACACTATTTTCGGTATTTTATTTTTTATGAATGCTAATGCTAAGGCTATCACAAATATCCTCATGAAACTTCAACAACTCGTCAGAACTACAATAGGCCGCGTTCATAATTCGAAGTGGAGGTTAAGGCCATGAGAAGAATAGCGATACAGAAAAAGGTTGCGAATGATGGTATACGCACAAGTTAGCGATCCAAAGAGTGCGCGTGTGTTCTCACCCACAAATTTCCTGAAATCGCGCACCATGGAAGTCGCCGCGAAAAAATATCCTGCGATCCTTCGACTTATACTGAAATGGGGCCGTCGCAGCGGCAGCTCCTCACAACCTATTAACATTCCAGTGTTCCCCTGAATGTCAAGTGTCATCATTTCGAGACTCCCACAAACCCAGCTGATCACACCACAGTATAAAATCATCAATCGTAGTAGCGACCTACCGTCTCAAACATCACCGTAGAAATTATCACTGTTCCAGAAGCATCGCCAGAAACCACCTAAAACGAATGATGAGTACATTGAAATCATTTTCAGTATGATACTCATTCAGGCGCTAGTCGTCTAGTTCCACCGTCCAACACCCAGATGTAACGTGTTAGGAAATGTCGCGATATGACGTCTCATGACAGCCAATGATGACAAGAATCGTGTCTTGAGTGCGTTCATACTTTGCGTCGGCGTTTTGCATGGTATGGTCAAAATGGGAAGATGGCTACATTTTCTCGTGGCCAAAACGCTGGGGTACGCTCAAAACGCTAGGGCTGACGCAAAGCGTGAACGCACTCTTCGATCTACAGCCTTTCTTCATGGGACTTAGCACATCATAAAACGCAGCGTGTTGGATGGTGAATATAGACTTGAAAGTACGACATCTACGTGACTGCGTGACAGTATCACTACCACTCGCTAACGCACCTTTTTAGCATCAGAACTCCATTCGACACATGTTATAGGTGAGCGGCGGTGGCTATCTGAGTCGATGCATTGAGCGAACTAAAACTTAGTACTCTTAGCAAATACTTATATGAACCACGAACTTGGGCGATATCCCTCTAAGGGGAACTTTCAGAGGACTCCTGTGCAGGATTCGGACTAAAGTCATCCGAATAGCTGTACTTTGTTTGAAACTGGTTCACTTATTCTGCAACTCCTAACCCCCTTCATGCGGAGGCACATTCTGTCTGCATTACAGTTTTGCACAATGAGCCTTGAAATGCCCCTTCCAAGTTCCTCAGCGCCATAACTTTCATTCATATTATAAGTGAACGAAGTGTTGGCGGAAACAAATGCGTGCGAAAACAAAGCATGCGAAATTTGCGATGACCATCAGAATACGAGATTCTTACAAAACTTACTGTGGTCGCTCCTTCACGATCTTTTGGCAATCGGATAACTATTAAAGTTCCCGTGTTATGACCAATGGCAACGAAATCATCGAGAAGATGAATACATGTGACCGCCTCGAGGCTGTTCGTGCGAAGTCTGAATTGCGCGAAGTCTGAACATTGCTTACCATAGATTATTGCGCTACGTCTGTTTAGGTTGATTATCCTGTTGCCAAGAAGTTCGTGTTCACTGGAAGAGAGCACCTGGAGAATTCGGTCTAAGGTCGGTTATAGGTATCTCGATCTCATCATTACGGACTGTCGGGGCGGGTCAGTGCGGCTGCGTTTTCCGCGGTTCCAAAGTCTTTCTGCACCAGTTGTTGAAGCGATCAAATGACATAACAGCATTATATCCTTCGTATTACTCGTTTTCTACCACTTTTTGTCGCATACGCGCTTCGAAGAAAAGGCTGAGAACGGCTTCAAACAGTGTGCGCACCTTCGTCTGGCGCGATGCCGCCCGACGTCCGTAAATGAGAGGAGTGTTTAGGGATGGAGCAGGTACTGTAAAGAGCACACATGATATATGCCGAGGCCCTGCAAAGACAGATGGCTATGGGATGCTGCCGAAAACTGAGCAGCATACCGCAGGCGAAATTCATAACTCGGTTACAGGGCAGTTCAGAGATGGGGAGAGAAAGTGGATCAAGGTTAGCAAGGGATTGTCAGGCCTAAGTGGGGAGATATACAAGAAACGGCAGGGCATGTTCTGGCAGGGACATGTTTAGAATATGTCCCACGAAATTCAGTAATTCGGTTCTCGAGAATGTACAGAGATCGCAAAAAAAAACTCGATAGAGAAGAGAAAGATCTGCCGAGAGTTCGTGGTGAGTTAAGAACCGCCCGCAGGCGGAGTATTTTGTCAAAATTAGCTAGTCAATTAAAAAAATAGTAATTTGGTTACAGAGCCCTCCAGAGACCGGGGAAAAGTGAATTAAGGCCAGCGAGGAGTCACCGGATGCAAAGACGGAGACAAGATGGGCGGGGCCCAACAGAAAAATCGGTAAAACGTTCCGATTCAGACGGAAAAAAGTGGTTAAGGTCAGCGAAGGGTTATCGAGTGGGAACAGTGAGACACACCAATCGACTTTCTGGTGGCTGCACACAAAACGGTACAAAAGGTACGTAACGATCTAATGTCGAAAACGTCGGATCAATACGTTTCGCTTCTTATCAGTACAGTTACCGAAAACGTCGAGTACTTAGAAAGAGTCGCAAAGTATGAACATTGCCCTGACCAAGGAAGCGCAGGGATCACTTGTTGTGCATGGACTCTGTTCATGAGATTCCACACGCAGTGGCCGAATTTTGCAGAACAGGGAAAACCCTGTTGTGTTTCAGTACTATGGTATCAATGTTGAAGTCGCATGCGCAAGACGCGTCCATTTTCTTCTATCCAGAATCACGAAGAACTCACGGCCTCAAGAGTTTGCTGAGTTTTTTGTTGTAAATAAACAGCGCTCCACAGCCAGCACCAATGACTATGTAGTTCGAAGAAGAGGCGATGCATGTCAACTCGACAGGGACCGTGCCGAGATCAAATGAATCGGGAATCTGGCGGAAAAGAACGGATTGCATGATTGTATAGCTTTTCGATAGTAGTTATTAATCCTTTGTCACAATGACAACTCACCAAAACTCAAATCAAGCAGAACAATAATTTAAAAAAAACCAACTCCGGATGAAATTCTATCCACGCTGTTCAAGAAAATTCGCTGCTCAGCACAGGGAGCTGACGACGTTCCTTCATTTTCGAGAGATTTCATATCAATAATTGGTCGACAACCAATAATGGCAAGTCATCTGAAAAGTTTCGCTTTAGAAACGTGACTTTAAACCT